AACTGTTTATAATTTTTTAAGATTTCAACATAAGAATAAAAAATAAATGAACAAAGAATATGAAGGGAGCAACTGAGGAGAGTCAGCGATTTTGGAAAATCCTAAGACGGTTTTTTTTCTTTCTCTACTCTTCTCGATGCTTCTTACATTGGGGAAAAAGTTAATATACAAAGGAAAAAGAAGGCACATGTACACTTCTCATACACATGATACTTTCTTTTAACTCTAAAAAATATATATACCATGTACATATTCATCACAAATGGACCCTTTATAGGTTCAGTTACTTGTTTAACCTGTGAGTTTAGATAAAGCATATGTTGACAATAAATCCATATTTTTGCAACTACCTTTTCAATATATATATATATATATATATATATATATGTTACGTTGAATTTGCATTTTTAAATTTTTAGCATAAACCTGCCAAAATATATTATATAGAAATAATATTATTATGAAATATCACTCGACTAAGTAGAAAGTCTGGGACCCTAATTTGATATTACCTACTACAAAACTTTCTATATGTATGTGTACGTGCGTGTGTGTGTGTGTGTGTGTTTATATGCTCCACTCAAACACATATATACAAATTAAAAAGATAGCGTGTGATCACTATGGTTGGTTAGATTTAACGCACAATCATCACTGCACACGTTTCAAAATGGACTTAAAAATTTGCATGGATGCAGATCTAAAAAACACTAGTTTATTAACACTTAAGAAAATGACAATAGCAATGATCACTTGGGGTTGTATTACTTGTCTTAATTTCTGCCAAATAATTACAAGCAATGAATGCATGATACATGTATGTTCTCACTTTCTAGATCATATGATACACCATAACTTATTTGATTACCAATATTCCTCCACACTAATGTACATGGCTTAAATTTACACGATGTATAATTATTTGCTGCTTATTCGTCATTTATTAAATCTAATTTAGTTTAATTTTTGTTAATGCATATTTTACGTTGACATTTACATGCAATATTTAAGTACGTATTAGGTATGATATTTGATTAATTGAAAAGTTTCTTGTGAAATAATATCATATTACATATACTAGGGAGGAATGCTCTTCCAGAACAGGGTACTACACCTAGTACAATCATTTTATAAGAGCATTAGTACACGTTTTAAATTCTTTTGATGTTAGAAATTTGATGAAGGGTAGAAATTAAGGTTTCATCACTAAAGGATTTGAAGGTAGGGTTACAAACATTATCAAGAGGAAGGAGAATTAGTTGATAAAAAATGATGAGGAAAGGAAAAAGCCATCCAAAAAGAGAGGATCCATGCAGTTGGTGACGTTCCTCTCACCCTACTTAATACAACAATATATATTCCACTTGCTCTATGCATGTTTGACTACTCTTGCCTAGCTGATAAATTAGAAAAATTACTTTAACTGATAAGCTCTTAAAAGGCGCCTTTCCTGTGAAAAATGAAAATTCCAGGGAGTTTAAGAAAGTAAAAAAAAAAAAAAAACAAAACAAAATAATTCAGAAATATTTATAGAATTTGATCCTAAGAGGGAAAGGGCTACTCTTATTACTCTAAAAATATCAAAGCTTATTCTAAACATGTATGTATATATAATCTATGTGAAAATATGTTCAGAATAAATTTAATTTTATATTTCTCCAACTAATTTTTCAGGAACAAATGTTTTGTCAGCCCACAAAATTAAGAGTAGAGGAGCTACGGCGGATAATTTTACGCCAGTGTTTGGCGGCTTTACGTTTTTATTTTATTTTAGGAAGGCTTTTATGTTTGTTAATTGTGGGTCATTCATTAAATCAGAAATTCTAACCCCAAATTTACAGTCAACTTTTTAGGATTAAAATTCAACACATACTACCCCTCTTAAGTAACGACTCAACTCATTATGACAATTACTTAAAACACTTTAGTTTCTATAATGCTGAACTTAATCAGAAATTATATTTTTTAAGAAAAAAAAAAAAATACACACACATTTGATTTATACATATCTATTATAAAACAATTTTTTGATGAAAATTTTCAATCTCTTTTTAAAAAAAATAAATTAATTAAGTATCAAATCAAAGACTTTCTAGATAATCAAGTAATATATATTTTCCTAAAATAAGTTTTTTTTTTTTTAATGATAGTATATTTAATTTAGAAGGACAAAGTTGAAATTTAAAGTCCAGAAAAAAGGCGTAGTTATTTTACCAGCCAATGGGAATCGACCACGTCTCTCTGGAACAACACCAAAGCCTCTTTAAATAGTAAGATGGGCGCGGTTAATTAGGTAGCGCAGGTTGGATTGAGGCAGCTAATCCTGAAAAGATTGATTCTAGTAAATTATGGGACGGTCTCCTCCTTGTGATGATCAGGGTGGTCTCAAGAAAGGTCCCTGGACACCTGAAGAAGATCAGAAGCTCATTCAGTACATCCAGAATCATGGCCATGGAAGCTGGAGAGCCCTCCCTAAACTTGCAGGCACACATGCCTACCTACCCTTCTTCCTCTCTCTCTCTCTCTCTCTCTGTGTTTTCTTCTTCTCTCCCTGACTGATCAAGTATGGCGAATTCTTTGCAGGTCTAAACAGGTGTGGGAAGAGTTGCAGATTAAGGTGGACAAACTACTTAAGGCCTGATATAAAGAGAGGAAAATTTTCTGAGGAAGAAGAACAAACAATCTTGAATCTTCATTCAATTCTAGGAAACAAGTACTAATTCATATATTTCATTAACTCTAACTGCCTTGATTAATATTTAATCATTGTTTGATTCATTTTGCTTTATATTAAATACGTGTGTACATACTGTTATCTTCTACAAGATGGTCAGCAATTGCAAGCCACCTACCGGGGAGGACAGATAACGAAATTAAGAATTTCTGGAACACCCATCTGAAAAAGAGGCTTATCCAAATGGGATTTGACCCGATGACCCATCAGCCCCGAACCGATATCTTCACAAGCTTGACTCACCTTCTAGCGCTGGCTAACCTGAAAGACCTGATCATGGATCATCATTATCATCAACCAGTGGAAGAACAAGCTCTTAGACTACAAGCCGAAGCTCTTCAAATGGCTAACCTTCAATACTTGCAGTATCTTCTTCAACCTCCAGCAGCTTCTTCCAGTACACCAACCACCAACATGATGAACATCAATAGTGAATTTACAGACATCGATTACTCCGTCATCAATCTTCTGAACTTACTTGCTTCAGCGCAGCCCAAGCAGACGACGTCGTTTGACGTTGAAACGACTGCCTGTCTTCAAGGGATGCTTAACAATGTGGTTGATGATAATTCGATCCCTTTTGCTCACTTGCCAGCTCTTCTGCAGGTTCAAGCTTCTCCTAGTTCTGATCTGTTCAGGGCGTTAAGGAACAAAGATCAAACAGGCTCACCCAGTTCCCCAATATGGCTTGTTTCATCTTCTTCATCTCCTTCTCCGCCTTCCACAGCTGCTTCGGATCCTCCTCATCATTCTTTGACAGAGACTTCCAACAAGAACGACATGGAGAATAATGCTTGTTTTTCTTCGAGCTATGGAGGTTGGCCTGATTTGCTGCTTGATGAGACTTTTTCTTAATGAATATTAAAGTGAGTTGTTTAAGTTTTTAGGTTTGTAATGTACGTGTGAGGAGTAACAGAGAGGCTTGGAGTTATGCCGTGCATCCTTTTCTTTACTGCATATTTTTTCTGAGTTATAATTATATACGTGCACTCTTTGTTGTGTGTGTGTATATATATGTATATCTGTTACTTCATGGCCAGTCACCCATATGTATATGTTTTGGATATTGTTTTCAATATGATATATATACATATATATCTCTGTCGCTTCATGGCCAGTCACCTATCTGTATATGTGTTGGATACATGCTTACAATATTGTTACAGTTTTGTCCGGTTTTAATTTAGTTGCAATTCAATTTCTGTGTTTTCATCCGAAACTAAACTATTCGTAAACAAATTTGATTCCTACGTGTGATTGTCGGGAATGCATGTGTGTGTATATATATATATATATATGTACGTATGTATGAGAAATGAATTATCTCATTAATTACATATTCTGAAACTATAATGCATGTCCAAGTAGGAGAGCCAAAAGATAATGAAGTTCCCGAATAATTGGAGAAGTTTCAGATGGATTATTTAGCACTTTCTTAGTTAAAACATGTACTATGTAAAGAACTAAAAGAATTATATATTACAACGTAAATGCATGTATACAGTGAATAGTTTCTGTACATCCAAACAAAGTCCTATGGACTGCTATAAACATAAGATGCTTGGAGAATTACATACCTTTAAAACTTTTTACTATGTAAATATAGGATGAGATCTTGCTTATATATATATATATATATATATATATATATTGGTAATAATAGTAATTATTTTCGGGTCAACTTTCACATATCAAAATTATTTTTTTTTCTAATTTAATTAAAAGTAGATCACATATTATATGTTAAATTTTACTTTTACATATTAAATAAATAAAATAAAAAAATTAAGTATAAAAATTAAATATAAATCAAAGATAATAATAATTATTTGGTTTGACAAACTAAAAAAATGAAATAAATAGTTTGATTTATATATATATATATATTAATTGTTTCATATTTACGGAATTGAAACATGATATATATTTGTAATTCATGTAAACTAATAACTATGTTTATTATGGGATGATCAAATTATTATTCTTTAGAAATAATGAGTCAAAGACAATTGTACCTAAATCTCAAAAGTTTCATGTAATGTAACAACGGATATGAAGACATGTAATAATTGGTTTATTACGTATTTACGTAGTTATTATATATATATATATATATATATATATATATATATATATATATTATCTGCCAGTGGGTACAAGCTAGGCTGAAGCCATTGACCAAAACCTTTTGATTCAACCACTCTAGAGGAAGTAAGCTCCAAAATTCTTATATAAAAAATTTTGAAAAAGGAAAACTCCATTAAAGTCGCAAGTAAATAAAATATTTCACCCTTCAATCAAATATTATATATATATATATATGTACACATTCACACATCCATATATATATATATATATATATATAATATTTCACTCTTTTTCTTCGCCATAAAATGCCTTATATACACATCACAGCAGTGGAAATCTTTCGTGTGGATATGGGGTAATTAGTAGCCTTTTCTGCATCTTGAGTTGACTAATTATTTAATATATTACTTAACTTGCCAATAATCTGTTTTAACTACTACTCATTTATTTTATTTTTTTAGCTTAATTATGCATTTAATTAGTTATTAGATTAATAATATTGTATTTTTGGGCTTAAATAATTCTTTTAATATTTAAAATTTATTACGGTAAATTTTTAATTTCTAATTATAATAACTAGGTAAATGAAAAAACATATACTTATAAATAAGTAAATGAAACAGAGAAAACAAAAAGGAAAATTAAAATTGAAACTAATTAACGTGAATCTCATAAAAAAGAGTGAATAAAGAATTCATAAGAAGGGTCCCCAAAGTAGTTAGGAAACTCAAATATATATATATATATAATAGAAATTAAATATGTTTCAACCCAAAAACAAAAATAGTTAATTAATCAATTAGTTACCCAATAATCTGACTGGAGACTCTCTAATTCTTTTCATTCTCTTTAAAAAAAGTCTTGCCTATACCATGGGGAAAAATTTAACTGATTAGTTAAAAAGTGATACAAAAAACATTTGAATATATATAAAAGATTTCGTATGTGAATAATGCATATAAAAATATAAAATCGTAAAATTACTCCACATTTTCTTGAAATTCACTCGTTTGGAGGGAGTGAAAAATTGAGAGACATTTTCATTAATTGATTAAATGAAACATTGCAGCCTTTTATACTCTCTTAACTCAGAGCTCATTAGCTTACACCTGTTGGTTTATTTAGCCAACTTAAGTTAACTACATAATACTCTTAACACTTCTCTTTAAGATAGATCATAAATCTCATGTATGATTATCTTGGACAATAACTAAAAAAGAATAGAGAAACCACTGCTTTAATAAACATATCAACTGATTGATGACAATAAAACTGATGGTGAGAGCCAATAAGTAGTAGTTTATGAATAATCCAGGGGCAAGATGATCATGAACGGAATGACAATTGATTTTAATACAATTATTGTGCTCATAAAAGATAGGATTAATGACACAATAAAATTTGTAGTTTGATTGTTACATAATAAAAGAGCTTGAATATTGGAGAAAAACCAAAGTCAACAAGCCATTGACGCAGCGAAATGAGTTCACTTGGTGTAGTGGCATGAGCTTGATACTTTTGCTTTAATAGAATATTTAAAAACATTCAGTTGCTTCTTAGATTTTTATAAAGCTAAGTGATAACCTAAAAATAGACAAAAATTAGTGATAGAGCATCTACAATTTAGGCAAACAACCTGATTTGCATTAAAAAAAAAAAAAAAAGGCTTTGAATTGAAGTTGAAAATTCAAAGAGAAAAAAGGTCTTGACTCATCGTAAAGTTCAAGTATCATAATAAGTGATGGTATAGCTTGTAAATGACGTTGTCATGGGTTGGGCAATGAACTAGCTTAACAAATGGTACTGCAAATATGGTATGAGAGTTTAGATAAAACTAAGTACAGTAAATAACTAATTATCCTTTTATAAATAAATAGATCATGAAAGATTTCGCCTTTATCAACACTATGAGAAAGCTTGGAGTTCATAGGCAAATCAGTAGGCTTAGTTACTAAGAAACCAATGTCCTCAAACAGCTATAAAGTATATTATTGTTAAGAGCAATTGATTCATTTAAAAGATCTTATTATCTCAAAAAACAATGAAATACTTTAATAAGCTCAAATCTTTTCGCCTAAATTGTGAATGACTAAAATTTTTAACAGACTGAATGATTTGGTGAGAATGACTAATGATGATAATATTGTCCATGTACCTAAAATTATTACAACAGACTAACCAGACCCTTTAGTAACGAAAGAATAATCAGATTTTGATTGAATAAAAGTAAAGTTTACAATAGAGAGTGAAAATCTTGAGTTCTACTGCTTGAAATCTTGCTTAAGTCCATAAATGAATTTATAAAGTTTACATATCAGTATTATGCAATGATGCATATACTCCCCCTATCTCGAATATCCAAGAAAAAGGTCTATGTATACTTCTTCAAACATATCACCATTCAGGAAGATATTATCAACATCAAGTTGAGCAATACGTCATTTTTGAGTTGTGGCCAAGATTAGAAGAACTTTAGCAGTTGTCAGTTTTACAAGAGATGAAAATGCTTCCATATAATCGATCCTCTTTTCATGTGTGTAACCTTTTACTACTATCTTAACTTTATACTTGTTAATTGTACCATCATAATGATGTTTGATTTTCTAAACCCACTTGTAAGTAATAACATTCTTTTCTAGTGATAATACAATTAAAGTTTAGGAATTTATATACCTCCATAGACTCTAATTCTTCTTTCATGGCCTCTCTCAAGTGTTGATGAGGAACAACCTAATGGAAAAATGGAGGGTCATAAATATAAGATATTACGAGAACAAAAGCTTGATGAGGCAATAACAATTCATTATATGAAATATAATCAATATTGAACATCACTAGCAAGAAGGCAAGAGCCGTAGAAGATCAAATGACAATGAAAATTTTAAAAGAATATGATACGAAATCGTTTTATAAATAGAATGGCAAAAATGTAATTAGATAGAAAATTATGTCAATTTTGTAAGTAGCGGAATTAGTATAAATACATGTTTTCTGGATATGTAAATTTTGTGTTTTAGTTCAGATTAATCATTGTTGTATGTTGCAAAGTTTAACAAGTCCAGCTCACCCAAAAGAGAAGCCAAAGTAAGAATGGTATAGGAGTAAGCCATATTAAACATCTAAAAGGATAAAAACATCAATAAATTAAAAAAATTATTGGTGAAAAAGTATGATGACTTGGCTCAATAAAGTAGTAACAATTTCCAATTATATATATATTAATTCATTAGAATCTTGATTAATCATTATTGATTCAAAAGAAGCATTTAGACCCAAAAAAAATATGATGTAATGGAGCTTATATCAGTAAGCAGTGTGAGCCAGGTAGTCAGAACCAGAACTTGAGGAGAAAAGTCTTGATTCAAAAAGAAGTACACGAAGACTGAAGGGTAGAGGTTTTGATTTAATTAGTAGGAAAGAAAATTAGAGCAATTAATTAATTATATTTTATCAGCATCCACTCTCCTTAGGCTACCTCTTTTCAAGAATTTGGTAATTTGGATCATTTGTCCAAAATTTTCTCTTCTACCTCATTATAATTAATTATCTCAATTGACAAAATTCACACACACACACATATATATATATATATATATAGACCTTTTTGCAAACCAATGTATTACGTATCTGTCTAATAAAATTTATAATGTATTTTTTTAATTCTATATAAAATTTAGTATTGAGTAAATTCTTATGTCTCTTTATAAATATAAAAATTTATACACATTTAGAAATAATTTCAGAATCCCAGTAAATTTTATGCTATGAAAAACCATCCACTTAAAAATGATACTAAAAGAGTTGTTTCGTATTATTTGATTTTCTCTGATTAATTAATATTTTACTTTAAATTTATTTTATTTGCATGATATTTTTATATTTTAAATATTTCATGAGTGTAATTCAATTATTACTTTCCACATTTGATGTAGTGGTTGAATAAGTTTTATTTAACGTAGAAATAATAAATTTATACGCATTAATATCATAAAAATATTTAATTTCAACCAAACATATAATTAACTTGAAATCAACATACAATTGCTTTGAAATCAAAGTCATACGTGCACAACTAAAACAAATTAAATCCAAATATTTATCAGTCTCCAGCTTCGTCATTGACCAAAACCTAAATTACATACGCATCGATTGATAGATTAAATTAGACTGTCACCCAGAGTACTGTAGAAGCTGGTGATAATTAAACTACTCTTGGGTTAAAAATGCATGGGAGCAGGGAAGTCAAATTCACGATCATGATCTTCAGAGCTTTATATATATATATATATATATATCCAAGTTGAACATAATAAATGCTATTGGTCTTACTGAGATTATCCTAGGCTCGTAAAATAATAATTAATTTTTTAAAGTGTAGTTGGTGGCGCCAATTAGTCTACATGTGCATATATAGTATTAGAAGGGAATGTATACATACAATAAATCGACAATAATTAATAGCCTGTTGGCTCTTAATTAACTAAAAATTATAATGAGGTCAGAATGAACGCCCTGTTAAACTAGTCGTGAGGTGGGTGGGGTACAATAGCCAATTTGCAAATCTAGTAATTTGATCAATTATTAATTCATGGCCTTCAAAAGCACATTATAAATAGATGAATTGGTGTTGGGTACCTTAATTTAAGTAAGATTTTATCTTAAAAAAATATTCCAAAAAAATTTGTACTTAATTAAAAAAACAGAAAATTTGTCGCAAAATAGTAAAAATAATTCAACTAAATTAATAAATTCTGAAATAAATTATTTTAGTTTTTGCTTAAATTTTGAAATAAGAATAAAAGATATGCAGTCCACCATGGTAAAAACACAAGAGTTTGAAATTTATTTTCTATAATTTTTCTAGTACACATGTATATACACATATTATAAATATATTAAAAATATATTCACGTAATATAAGTATTATAACGAAGTGATTTGGCTATGCAAGTAAAGAATAATTGAATCATTGTTAAGTAATAAATATAAAATAATTCACAAAATTAGAAAATAGTATTTAGTTAATTACATGGTATGTACTTTTATTTTTATCTCTTTATAATGTATGAGCTTGAATTGAAAATCGCTATGAAAATTATACTTCAAAATTTGAAAGAGAGAGTACAAAGGCCAAACACAAAGGATTTCGAATAATTTCCAACACTACCTTTTAGCTCCAAAGAACTTGAGCCCTCAATCCCAACTCCGACTCTTTTTTAGTTACAAACGGTGTCAAGTCAGTTTGAGGTAAAATAATGAATGAAGTTTGAAAGTTGTAACTCAAAACAAGTTTTTGGCTTCCTTTCCTCTCTACTGAGTTTCCCACTAATACTTGCCCAGAATTCAGCTTCGAGTTCTGTGCAAAGAAGCAACTAGAAGTAAATGAAGTGGCAGGCAGAGATTTGGTAATAGCTAAAATACAGCTTCATTTAATGAGAAAGAAGAAACCACTCCACTGATCATGGTCGTCCGATAAAGAAAGGATTTAATGGATTAATGACACAGACAAATCATGGGAGGTCCCAATACTCAAGTCCAATCGAACTCAGCCCACAAAAGCATATCTACAAGCCCGAAAAGAATTAAAAGGCCTTTATTCCTAATGGAATTCCGAGCGATAATTATAAGAATTTCATAAATAAATTTATTATTTACTTAAATGTAAAATTTATAGTTATTATGTACGTTATTCTTAATTCTATTTTAATTATTGTAACTAGATGTGAAAAGATAATGCACTATGTCCTGAATAATAAAAATTAGCGGCTTACCATTATCTAACTTTTCTCAAGTGATTTTTTTTTTTTTTTTTTTGAGATAAATATTCATTTTTGTCTGAATTTTACAACTAAAAGATATTGTAATTGGATCAGACCAGAACATAATTTAACCAAAATACATATATACATATTTTTTATCCTATTAATTAAATACACATAAAACCCTCACGAGACTTTTGATTTTTGTTTTTGAAATAATAATATTAAGACATACCTAATAAATTCTCTGTTAGAACTACTCATTTTTTAGTAATAATTTTACTTTTTATATGCAGCGAATTATGTGTTTTATATATGTCCTTATCAAAAAATTAATTTATATTTAAGTAATATTTAATGTATAATTTTATTTTAAAAAATTCTCATTCAAAATTTAATTTTTATTAATATATCTGACCAACAAAAATTGAAATATTCTTCGAAAGTCTCGTATAATTTTTTAAAGACAAAACACAAGTCTTCACATTCAAAATTTCACCTGTAACAACAAATTCTACCTTCTTGAAGAGACTGCCGAAGCCAAACAAGAAAATTTTGAAAACAGAGCAGCGGATACAGCTTCTAATACTTAATTAAAGTAATTATTTATTACTCTAATTACTTAATAATTAATCAACTAAATATTGATTTAAAATAAATAGTTAATTTAATTACTTAATTAATTAATTATACACAGATCCAAAAAATCTGTGGTCCACTCTCCATCCACGAGCTAACCACTAGATAAAACAATACGTTAAAGTTATTATGTTCGTGTACATACATGGCCGCCTCATGCTCGTGCCCCACACGCCCGCCAATGGTGCAAATTCAACGGTCACGATCTGCTCTTTTCTAGTGCCACGTGTACACAGGTCTTACACGTGTCACATCCGATGTAGCACTATTCCTCGCCCGTCTCTGTCACTCTATCTCATCAACCCACCTCGGAAAGTCTATCTTGAAGACTTCACTGACTTGAAACTTGGTTGTCTCTCGGTTTTCTTCTTCTTCACCAAACACGACGAACCGGAGAAATGTCAAAACATAGCGTTCCCGCCGGTTTTCCGCCGGAGTATTCTGTATCCGGCGCTGTACAGAATCAGTTGGAACGCGGGGATCTGCTTGTGTCGCTCCACAACCTGTCAGCGATTCGGGCGAGGATGGATTCACTGCAGCAATTTCTATCGGACTCGGTCAACAGAGATTTGCTAATAGCTAAGCCTCAAATGGACATGGTCTCGTCGGAGATCGCCTCCGCCATTCACCAGACCATCGTTAACGGCGCCGCGCTTCTCTGCTGCGCGCCCCCTACGGCTCCGGATCCGAACTTTCCGGCGACAAAACCGGACATCCCCCTAAAACCCACGGCGGAGAAGGATGAACTCGGCGTGCTCGATTTTGATATAGTGGAGCTAGATGCGGTAGAGTTGTTGGCCGAGCATCTGCATTTCTGTGAGATTTGTGGGAAAGGGTTCAAGCGTGACGCCAACCTGAGGATGCACATGCGAGCTCACGGAGATCAGTACAAGACGCCGGAAGCGCTGACGAAGCCGGGGAACAGTAGTGTTAATCAACAGAGTGGATGCAAAACGAGGTTTTCGTGCCCGTTCGATGGCTGCAACAGGAACAGGAAGCATAACAAGTTCCGGTCGTTGAAATCCGTGGTGTGCGTGAGAAACCACTTCAAGAGGAGCCATTGCCCTAAGATGTATTCCTGCAATCGGTGCAGGAAGAAGAGCTTCTCGGTGGCGGCGGACCTGAAGAGCCACTTGAAGCACTGCGGTGAGGCCAGGTGGAGGTGCTCCTGCGGGACCAGCTTCTCGAGGAAAGACAAGCTTTTCGGTCACGTAGCCCTGTTCGAGGGGCATATGCCGGCGGTTATGGCGGCAGAGGAAGAGAAGGGTGATGCGATTGCCATGGAGGAAGATGATGATGAAGGGGTGGGTGAATCGGGAATTGGGTTAACGAAGGGAGTGGAATTGGGCGCAAATTGTAGTTTAGAGGATGGATTCGAGGGATTGTTTGATGGGTTTGGTTCGATTGAGAGTTATTGCTTGCAGGATGTGTTGGAATCTCCTAATGGTTCGGGGATTTGATTTTAGGAATTTAGAGTAATGAGGTATATTTCGTACGATTCCTGTTTCTTGATGATTCTGTTCGTATGTCTGTATGTATTCTTTGTAATAATGGATCATGAAATTGTAGTTTCTTTCCAAATCCTGCAGTAAGAATCTCTTATTCTCCGAATTTAAGTTGCAATGGTTAATGATTCTGTATAAGATATTCGTGATTAATTTAATATATTGCAGGGTTCCTGGTGTTCATGTTGCCAAACAACCCACCAGGCTTCATGTTTTAGATATGAATATCTGAGACTAAGTCATGGATAGTTTTGGAATAAAGCAGAAGGAGAATAACTTGATTGATTAAGGGAGCAAAATGAATATACGGAAGCAACTGGTGATTTCCTTGGGATAGTTTGCTGACTGAAAGTTATAGTTTGGTGTATATTTAGGAAATAGCTGTAGTAAATATGTGTACTAGGCAATAATCTTTTATGCCTTCGCTTTGATCTGCTCTGCGTGTTTCAGATGGGTCATGGCTTCCATAAAGATATCCTTAAGCCTTGAGTGTGTAGGATTCGTATAAAGAATTGCAGACGGTATAAGCATGCATGATAAATAAAATAGACGTAGCTTTCTAAAATTAAATGAAAAATTGAGTTGACAAGAAACATGCAGTTCGATTCAGCGTCCGCAACAAAAAGTATCATTCATCTACGAACTTAATTATTCTGTCTGATGTGCCTGGTGTGATTCCGTTAAGGCTCTGGAGGAAGCCCAGAAATTCGCAATTACTTAATAAAATCAATTATATATATTTGTAAAAAGTATACATTAAAGTAAAGTATTGGCAGAGTTTTATTTTTGTGTTAAAATTTTTTAGTAATTCACTAATTTTCTCTCTCTAATTTTTAATTAAAGTAAATTACTTAGATTTAATAATTAATAATTTTTTTCCCCAATATTTTATTTCTTTAATTTCTTGAAAAAATTAATTCTTTGACTTGTGATTCACATAAATATAATAATAATTGGAAATTTTGAAATAAATTTATACTGATTATAAAATTTAAATGATTAAACTTTTTTGATTACAACAAATTGGGCCATACCTGACCGAGCTGAGAAAGGCAAAATATCATTTTTTTTTTTTTTTTTTATATATTTCTTATTGAACATTAACGGGCTTGGTTTAGTTTTCGTCCTGGTATATGAAGGTTTTCGTATTATTTATTTCTAAATATTTTGAGCATTAATTACTCTAAAAAAAAATTAACTGTACGGAGTGTTAAGCAGACACTCTTACAAAATATATCTCTACATAAAAAAAAAAAAACATAAAATTTTGATGATACCTACGCTTCCTTTCTTTAATAAACTTTTTCAATTATAT